GTAAAGGGGACTGTGCTTGTCGTAAGAGGCGACTATGCTTGTCGTAAGAGGCGACTAACGGGATCGGGTGGTCAGGCTCGCTGACTTGGTTGATGCATGTCATCGTATCCCAGTTGGGTGGACCCGTGAAGATCCGGGGAAGAATAGATCTTAAGCAACCCATGCTTGTCGTAAAAGGCGCCTGTGCTTGTCGTAAGAGGCGACTAACGGGATCGGGTGGTCAGGCTCGCTGACTTGGTCGGTGCATGTCATCGAACCCAGTTGAGTAGATCGATGTTCATGATGTCAATCACTGGATTGTCTGGTCCAGACTCGATAATTTACAGACCGCCGTCATATAGCTGGAATATTGCTAAAAGCGGCGTAAAACCATACTCACTCACCCATTAGGCATGCATGCCAGAAACCTATGATCGTTGGTTCGAATCCCGGTTAGCACCGATTATGTTTCGATGTTTCTCAGCGCCCTGCTCGTGGGTTTGACCAATGTGGTAAGTGTACGAGACCTGCATCACTTTGAGTTTTCATCCCCCACTAAGCTGACACGCCGTGATATAAGCGTAATACTGTTCAAGCGGCGTTAAAACCAACTCCCTCACTTAACCGACATATACAATGTTGTCAGTCAGTCGACCTGAATATTGCTGAGTACAGCGTTAAACAACAAACAAACAAACACTCATGGGTATAATGTGTGAAGCCCATTTCTGCTGTCGGGCGCCGTGATACTGCTGGAATATTAATAAAAGCGGCGTAAAACCGACCTCACTTAGAAGATATGGCGAAAAGGGGAAACAAGCTGGAGTTACGGAAAGGAGCTATAGGATTAATAATCAGTTTTTTTATGATATATGCAAACATACTGCGACATGCTAAAAGTTGTGTATCTCACTTGTTTTTTCTGTAATATTTTCAAAATAATAAAACTATTTATAAACAATATTACCACGAAACTGCCAAAGCTGTTAACAGAAATTTCAATAAAACAAAACAACATGCATATTCCAGAAAAAAAACATCCTGGTATTATAATCAAAAACTCTGAGGTCATGATGATGCATTAAAAAAAGTTAAAAAAATGTTAATCAAGTAATAGTAAATAGTGTCATGTTCTGTATGGTTTACATGGCAACGTTGTTTACAATCGGACCAGAATTCTGGTATCCAAATTTGTAGAGACAAGGGTTTTACCGGGGCCAAAATATTGCGCCCTGTTCGCATAACAATTATGAATGGACGCAAATAATATCCATTGGACACACAGGGATATGGATGCTGGAATAATTAAATTGAAGCTATAAGTTTGATTTGTATGATATTTCTGAATCAATGTTCGGACATTCCATGTCAGATTTCTTTACTCAGTCATTAAATTCCGTTTCAAACAAGAAAATCCCTTTCCGAGAGAAGCAAAAGGCCTCACACATAATTTGTATATTTTTTTGCTGTTGGTACATGGTCACTAAGCTGGTACCCGAATATATTCCCGGGACCCCCTAAATCCATTACCGAGTCCCCATGACTCGCAATTACACAGGCTTCGGTAAATACCTACGACACCATTGCTGGGATAATCGATCAAAGTCACTGTCTTCATGCAGTAAACGTTCATCACGTGAGAGTATTGCTTCATATGGATGTCCGTTCCCGTGTTTTTCCAGGTGAAACAATTAACTTGCCTTTGCGTGTGTTTGTTACGGGTGCTACCGGTGGGGCAGGACCCAGTCGTCTGAGACGCCGCGATTCGCTGTGCAGAGTTGCGTCCCTTGGGCACGCCAGAAACCTATGATTGTGGGTTCGAATCCCGGTTCGCCCCAATTATTTTTCTAGGTTTGTCAGCACCATACCCGTGCTCGTGGGTTTCACCGAAGTGGTAAACGTCTGAGACCTGCATCACTTCGGGCTTTCCACCCACATTAAGCTGACACGCCGCGATATAACTGGAATATTGTTAAAAGCGGCGTTAAACCCAACTCACTCATACTATCACCTTTTCGCGAACACCTGGTATAATTACTATTTGATAGTGATTCATGAACACGTGTGTTGTGCCCTTAAACCTACAATGGTCTTAAGTCACACGTGATCATGATATAGTCGGAATCGTACATCTGCTTTTAGAAGAGAATTCTTATGAATATGGAAAGGGTTTTGTCACTTTTATCTATTATAGATACGTAAAGGCTAAAAGACGTTTACAGATAGATTGTTAGGTGATGTTGGCCTTCCGTTGAGACTTTATTGATTTCTGACTGATTGTTTGTCGTTTAACGCCACATTTAGCAGTGTCACATCACAATCAGAGCTGAAACATTAGAGACCAACTCATTATATGAAGTGGTGCATCGCAACTGGAGATGAAACAAAATAGAACAGCTCATTATATGAAGTGGCTTTAACATTTGAGCTGTAACATTTGAGACCAACACAATTGATGAAGTGTTTGTTTGTTTGTTATTTAACACCGCACTCAGCAATATTCCATCTATATGACGGTGGCCTGTACATAATCGAGTCTGGACCAGACAATCCAGTGATTGACATGAGCATCGATCCATGCCAGACAATCCAGTGATCGATATTGTGATCACGCCGTCGGAGTACGATGACACGCAATGAACCAAGTATTCGAGTCTGACCACCCGATCCACTATGTCGACTGTACAACCACCATATAGGTAACTGGGGACCTATTCTAACCCGGAAACCCACGGGGCGTTGAGAGTGGTAGGGCGAAAGGGGGCGAAACAGCTTCAGGTGTATGACGGTTATGGGGTAGCAATGCCACATGAAAAAAATGATTGTGTGTTTTGGTGTACAGATATGTGTATGTATGAATACTGTTGACGTCATTCATATGTTTGTTGCCGGAGTGAAAGTCTTCACAAGAGGTTTTTGCAGAGTTCACACACACGCAACATCTGTGCACGGTGATTATTTTTACGTAAAGGTGTATAAATAACAGGGTATGTTTGGTGACTGATTGTTGATGTAGATAACAAATTCAACATGGCTGTCATTACGACCATGTTTACATCCGACTTGAATTCTCTTTGAGTTTGTTAGAGACGGGATATTTTTTCTCAGAATGCTTCAAAACATAAAAATTCCTACTTTGAAAAGGATAACTAAACACTATACACCACAAAGGTTATATAGGACATCCCTCTAACAATATACACTAATGGAGTTAAAACTTTTGGAAAATCCTTTTTACAGGCTTTCGGGGGGGGGGGGGGGGGATATTAGAATATTTTAAGGTCCTCGGATTCATCAGTAAACCAAGGAAGGCAGGTCCACAAAACCCTAATGTAAACGACGGGGGTCCTAGACGTATATATGAGTTTCCACCACAATTTTGCTGGGGACTTATCTTGCAAACCCTTAATCATCCCTACAAATTTTGAGTTATTTGCAGCTTTACTTAACATGCGTCCCATGAAGATCCGGGATGGAATAGGTCTTCAGCAACCCATGTTTGCCGTAAAAGACGACTATGCTTGTCGTAAGAGGCGACTAACGGGATCGGGTGATCAGGCTTGCTGATTTGGTTGATGCATGTCAGCGATCCCAATTGCGTGATCGATGCTCATGATGTCAATCACTGGATTGTCTGGTCCAGACCCGATTATTTACAGACCGCCGTCATATAGCTGGAATATTGCTGAGTGCGGCGTTAACAACAAACAAACAACATATATATCTTATGTACACAACAGTTATTAATTGATGAATGCGTGGATGTGTTGTTGGATAGATGCATGCGACACGAGGCACAGAAGTGAATCTGCCGATGTATACTATTTATGTTAGATATATATATATATATACCATTCGTAAGAGGTCCGTGAAAATGTATTCAGCTTTCAGATGAAAGATAGATTTAAATAGATTAGATTAATAATGTTAATTCTGTTTGTTTTTAATAATTTCGAAATAATAGTCGCAATAACTATTTCTATTTTGTTGATCAAAAATGTAATATTAGCAAACGGATGTACACTTTAAAATACGTTTTTGTGTGTATATTGTATCTCAGACGTGTTAGACAAATAGACAGGAGAGTCTGATGACGTTAAGTCATCTCAAAAGATGTGTTCACAGTCATTGTTCTGTTATTTTTCAGATTTTCGTGTTTAAAATTTATTGAGTAGGTATTCTGATGGTTTCAAATCGTAAATAGTATACGGGTACGAGTATTCAATAATACGTACATGTATGGAAATCTAGAAATTCATAATATTTATCAACATTGTAATTCAAAATACTAGTTATTGTGAAGCACCTTCTCTCCACGTCCGCTCTCACAGATGTGAGGCGGGCGGTCGGGTAGCCCAGTGGTTAACGCGTTCGCTCGTCACGCCGAAGACCCGGGTTCGATTCCCGACATGGGTACAATGTGTGAAGCCCATTTCTGGTGTCCCCCGCCGTGATATTGCTGGACTATTGCTAAAAGCGGCGTAAAACCAAACTCACTCACTCACAGATGTGAGACAGACAGCTTAGCCTTGTGTTGCCATTTTGTCCATTTATTATGTGTGGCCCTTCTGACTATCCCAGCTGAATGACGCGGTTTTAATTTTTTGTTTTACAATTTATAGATCTATAGTAATTCGATCTGTGTCAACAATCTAAAGTTCAACGCATATTAGAACATAAATACCGAGTTCATGGTTGGATCAATCAAACTAATTAGCTTTATGATAAAGTCACGCGAGGTTCAATACAACATGGGCAACTCTGGTCATATCGTCAGTCATATGATCTCCATATGCGCTGAAACTGCAAGTGTCGGAAGTGGGCATTCTTTGGTCAACGCGCGTGTCCATGTTCGTCCTGGCTTTTGAAATCGGACTCGAGCGATTGATTGGTTCTGGCTGATAAAAACTCCTGCCAGAGATATTTTGACACCCGTTCAACATATGAACAATAACGAGTATTGGGCATACACGCGCCGTGGCAGAGCACGAAACAAGTCCGTATCGAAATCTCGCGTAGGTCTCGAGTCTCGCGTGATCTGTCATGGCGTCGTAGCAGACTGCATTTGGTTCGTGGCAGAAACAATATACTACAACCATGCATCTAGCTCTCAGCGACACAGGGATGACACTTGCCATCAACGCGGCTATGTCTGCGTGTGGCTTTCTGCTGTGTTTGAACATAATTCCCAAATTTGGAAGCATGTTTGTCAAAGCGAATCTCTTCGGTGTGGACATGAGCAAAAGTTCCAAGGCGAAAGTGTGAGTAGCCCCACAGCTGACGATACCATGGTTTCTGTTGCATCACCTGGCGTTCAATGTAAATGCTTTCATACAATCAATTCTCGGACATGTCTGCGTAAACGTTGTAATTGATTTTTATGTATGCCCTCGTCGGCAAGTTTAGTTTCATGATTAACATTTAGTATAAGAATTAAGATATGTTAGAAAAATGAATTGAAAATAGGGAAAATAGCACTAGCTTCAAGGACGTTTTATATTCTGAAAATGCTAAAACCGGAAATGTGTATATCTAACAGATGTTGTGCGCTAGCATAATGACTATTATGAACAAATATTTAGAATTTGATTGAATTGTTGAACACCTTTTAGCATTTGTTCAGCTTGTTTTTACCAAGACACCTATTCAAGAACAGCCCACCATGATGGTTATGATGATGATGATGATGACAGGAAGATAAAAGGGACAAGATGTCGGCTGTTCTAAAGCATTGTTTGTTAACCATAGCTGATAATCCCTGAGCTTACTCGTCTCCGCTCGCCTTATTCCACGTGAGAAATTTCTGCTCCAGTGACTACACAGTGGGTGTAGGCTTTTCACATCACTAGACATTTCTCTTGTTTGTAAACAAAAGCACATATTCTGAAATAACAACGGGTGGGTTTAATGCAAACCTTAAGGTGTGCTCGACATAGTTTTGCATAATTATCGAAATAGTACTACAACTGCGACAGTGCATGACAATATATTATATAGCTTTACACAGCAGAGTGACAGTATTGCTAGCTCTCGATAGGGCTTTGATTACACTATTTGGAGGATAAATATGCAAATGGGAATAGTTTTTCACTTTTTAAAGTCATGTTTGTCTAAATGTGTAGACTCGTCCAAAATGAAACAGATGAAAAACAAGATATGGACTGTGTATGATGTAATGATGTCATAGACGTACTAGGCTGGACTCAAGGAGTGTGGTTACAGTATCTGTTAGACACCCAATAGCATCATAAAAACTAGATATATCTCAAGTTAATTACATATAAATAATACATAATATATATTTATGTATTATGTACATACAATACATATTTACAATCCTAAAGGTTAGTTGTGGTAGGGTTAGGATAGGTTACCCACAACTCTATTCTTAGCCCCCGGATCCTTGAATAAAAATAGAGGCAAACATATTCTATAGCAGTTCCCTCATTTGTAAGAAAAACACACAAACAGGATTGATGCCATTTGACTCTGCACAGCACTTGCGTTGTCGGCTATGCTGTGTGGACCTCTATTGTTTTGGTTTGAGAATTGAATCGGGCATGTGACGTCGTACTCAGAAACTATTTCATGCATGATTTGAAAACACAGATCCATCGACGTAGTGTCCCTTTAAGCATGCTAAGTAGTTTGTTTGTTTGTTGTTTTACACCGCACTCAGCGATATGATGGCGGTCTGTAAATAAACGAATCTGGATCAGACAATCCAGTGATAGTTATCATGAGCATCGATGGGATCCATGACATGCAACAACCAAGTCAGCGAGCCTGACCACCCGATCCTGTTAGTCGCCTCTTATGACAAGCATAGTGGCCTTTTACGGCAAGCATGGGTTGCTGAAGAGCTATTCTGCCCCGGATCTTCACGGGACGCATGTTAAGTAAAGCTGCAAATAACTCAAAATTTGTAGGGATGATTAAGGGTTTGCAAGATAAGTCCCCAGCAAGAAATGTGGTGGAAACTCATATTTACATGCCCAAAATGTCATTGTAGCACAATGATATTCACATGGCTATTATATTTTGTTCACATTGTGCTTGTAATCAGTTATACGTAACATATCGTATTCGACATGAAAAGCGCCCAGGGCTCTCTCAAAATTAGAAATAGGGGGCCCTTATTAAAGATAAATTTCGTGGTTTATGCTGACAGCCTGAAATGTTTATATAGGACCAATGTATTTTCCAGAATTTAATTGCCCATAATTAAGGGTGCATCAATAAGTCTTGTGTACATTGATCAATCGGAAGGGGTGCTAATTGGGATTGTTCACTAGCCAATATATTAGCAAATATCGCCGTGGGCGCTTATTACGGTATAAGAAAGTATACTTCTTTTTCAGACCAGAGGCACTGGGTGTGATATGTGGAGCTGTCTTCCTGATTGTCATGTTTCTCTTCATCCCTGTTCCCTTCTACAAACACTTGTCAGACACAGACACAGCCAAGTTCCCCTATCATGAGGTAATGCTTGTCATCCAAAATATACATTACGGAGAACAGGGCATGTCTGTGTGGGCCTACTGGCAAGCCTCAAAGTTGCGACTAAAACGGTCGCCAATTCAACCTACATTTCAATTTGTAGCCAAATGACTTCTTTGAAAAATAGAGGCGACTTAATTCTATTGCTTCACACACATGTCTCCTAATAATTGTACTTGCGTATAAGTCCTGCTAAAGTCGACAATGAACAGAAATACATAAATATTAATGTAATTAGTGTCTTATTTCAGCTGACAATGCTCATTGGATAAGCCAGGATATACCTAAATAATCTAGTAACATAAATTGCATCATTGTTTGAGTCACAAATAAAGAAAAATTAAGTACATTTTCCACTAATATACCATTCCAAGACTAATGCTATGACTTTTACATTTTATAATAGTTATTTGATAAAAGATAATTTCAAATGCTTTTGGCTACCTACAATATTGGCTTGACTTCTTGATTTTACCACTGGCTACCTGGAAAAAAATGCCTGTAGCCATATGGCTACTTGGTAAAAATTTAAACTTTGAGGCCTGCCTGGGGACAAAGTGGATGTGGGTGTAGGTGTAGGTGAATTACTGTGTCATAAGGGGGCACGGGTGGCCCAGTCGTCTAAGGTGCCGCGATTCGCTGTGCAGAGTTGCATCCCTTGGGCATGCCAGAAATCTACGATCGTGGGTTCGAATCCCTGTTCACCCCGAATATGTTTCTAGGTTTGTCAGCACCATACCCGCGTTCGTGTGTTTCACCGAAGTGGTAAACGTCTGAGACCTGCATCATTTCAGGCTTTCCTCCCACATTAAGCCGACACGCCGTGATATAACTAGAATACTGTTAAAAGCGGCGTTAAACTCAACTCACTCACTCACTCATTGTGTCATGAACCTGGTGGTACATGGTCATGGGTGAACAGTGCACATCACAAGTCAGGTGAAGATGAGGGATGTTGTCGAGAGTAGGTGGATGGGTGACCATGTTCCGCAGCTTGACTCCTGAGAGTTTCTAGGGCTTCGGTTCTGCCCCTCACTGAAACACAGGAAGCACATATGGTGTCTCCTTAGGAAAATAAATTTGTTCGAAATATGCCTCTGTTCACCCAGCAGTGAATGGATACCCGGTAGTGGTAGGATGAGGCAGTGTTTCAGATGGCCGCTGTTCTTTCGTCATAGGCCGATAAAAATTCAATTTGACTGATGGTTTGTTTAAGTTATCAGACTTTTGACCGATAGAACTGCATGATTAATAAGTAAATAGTAAGGATTAGTTCTACTTACAGTATCGATTTAATAAGAAAAGGCACAGCCATCAAAAATCGTAATTGACACTCTGAACAATGCATCATACTTTCTGTATCATAGGGAAAAGTTGTCAGGAGCTACAATGACGTCACAAAGCACTTCTCTTATCGCGATGTTCATTAGCCAGATCGGTTATATTCATCCAGTCACAAACGCATTTTCCCGAGGCAAGGGCGTTAACTGTCTATAAAAGTCCAGTTTCCATCCTTGCCGAACTAGGCTGTAATTTCCAGGCACGATTGTAGAGCCACCAGTGGCTATTACGAGTTATGTCCCTTCTATGTTCCTCCTATTGACCAATCAGATTCCATCTCTCATATATCGCTTGCTTCAAACAAAATGGCGGCGCCCAGTCAAGATGATCTGCTCGCTGATCAAGATCTATTTCGTAATAAATAGGGTCTTTCATCATGAAATGCATCAAATCAAGAGAGCAGCTTGGTTAAAAGCATAAAAGAATTTGCAAAATGTCTGTTGACGCCCAGTTGGGGATACACATGCTATGCAAATCCTGCAGTCGACCGCAATCTGCACGTTGAAATCCATGTTGTTTACAAACTGACAAACCGGATGTCTGATTCGTTATGTGATTTTGATTGGACTATGCATAAACTCGTTAGTCCAGCCAAAATGTAACTCCATAATTGCAGCCTATTTCGGCAAGGGTGGAAACTGGACTTTTATAGTCAGTTAACTCCCTTGCCTCAGGAAGATGTCACGAACGGTATTGGATTGATTTCTTGTTATGGTTCATCCGCCGTTTTTGTTTATTTATTTCCCATGGACTTATTACGGGTCTTGGTCCAAGTCATTGACATATATAGCTTTGTGTGTCAAACTCACTGTGAGATGGTAACGTACCTGTAAACCTTCTAGCACCTCACGGGTTGTAGACTACATAATATGGCTGGGACGAGTCAAACTCACTGTGAGATGGTAACATATCCGTTAACCTTCTAGCACCTCATGGGTTGTAGACTACATAATAGGGCTGGGACGAGTCAAACTCACTGTGAGATGGTAACGTATCCGTTAACCTTCTAGCACCTCACGGGTTGTAGACTACATAATAGGGCTGGGACGAGTCAAACTCACTGTGAGATGGTAACGTATCTGTTAACCTTCTAGCACCTCACGGGTTGTAGACTACATAATAGGGCTGGGACGAGTCAAACTCACTGTGAGATGGTAACGTATCTGTTAACCTTCTAGCACCTCACGGGTTGTAGACTACATAATAGGGCTGGGACGAGTCAAACTCACTGTGAGATGGTAACGTATCTGTTAACCTTCTAGCACCTCACAGGTTGTAGACTACATAATAGGGCTGGGACGAGTCAAACTCACTGTGAGATGGTAACGTATCTGTTAACCTTCTAGCACCTCACGGGTTGTAGACTACATAATAGGGCTGGGACGAGTCAAACTCACTGTGAGATGGTAACGTATCTGTTAACCTTCTAGCACCTCACGGGTTGTAGACTACATAATAGGGCTGGGACGAGTCAAACTCACTGTGAGATGGTAACGTATCTGTTAACCTTCTAGCACCTCATGGGTTGTAGACTACATAATAGGGCTGGGATGAGTCAAACTCACTGTGAGATGGTAACATATCCGTTAACCTTCTAGCACCTCACGGGTTGTAGACTACATAATAGGGCTGGGACGAGTCAAACTCACTGTGAGATGGTAACGTATCTGTTAACCTTCTAGCACCTCACGGGTTGTAGACTACATAATAGGGCTGGGACGAGTCAAACTCACTGTGAGATGGTAACATATCCGTTAACTTTCTAGCACCTCACGGGTTGTAGACTACATAATAGGGCTGGGACGAGTCAAACTCACTGTGAGATGGTAACGTATCCGTTAACCTTCTAGCACCTCACGGGTTGTAGACTACATAATAGGGCTGGGACGAGTCAAACTCACTGTGAGATGGTAACGTATCCGTTAACCTTCTAGCACCTCACGGGTTGTAGACTACATAATAGGGCTGGGACGAGTCAAACTCACTGTGAGATGGTAACGTACCTGTAAACCTTCTAGCACCTCACAGGTTGTAGACTACATAATAGGGCTGGGACGAGTCAAACTCACTGTGAGATGGTAACGTATCCGTTAACCTTCTAGCACCTCACGGGTTGTAGACTACATAATAGGGCTGGGACGAGTCAAACTCACTGTGAGATGGTAACGTATCCGTTAACCTTCTAGCACCTCACGGGTTGTAGACTACATAATAGGGCTGGGACGAGTCAAACTCACTGTGAGATGGTAACGTACCTGTAAACCTTCTAGCACCTCACGGGTTGTAGACTACATAATAGGGCTGGGACGAGTCAAACTCACTGTGAGATGGTAACATATCCGTTAACCTTCTAGCACCTCACGGGTTGTAGACTACATAATAGGGCTGGGACGAGTCAAACTCACTGTGAGATGGTAACGTATCCGTTAACCTTCTAGCACCTCACGGGTTGTAGACTACATAATAGGGCTGGGACGAGTCAAACTCACTGTGAGATGGTAACGTATCCGTTAACCTTCTAGCACCTCACGGGTTGTAGACTACATAATAGGGCTGGGACGAGTCAAACTCACTGTGAGATGGTAACGTACCTGTAAACCTTCTAGCACCTCACGGGTTGTAGACTACATAATAGGGCTGGGACGAGTCAAACTCACTGTGAGATGGTAACATATCCGTTAACCTTCTAGCACCTCACGGGTTGTAGACTACATAATAGGGCTGGGACGAGTCAAACTCACTGTGAGATGGTAACATATCCGTTAACCTTCTAGCACCTCACGGGTTGTAGACTACATAATAGGGCTGGGACGAGTCAAACTCACTGTGAGATGGTAACGTATCCGTTAACCTTCTAGCACCTCACAGGTTGTAGACTACATAATAGGGCTGGGACGAGTCAAACTCACTGTGAGATGGTAACGTATCCGTTAACCTTCTAGCACCTCACGGGTTGTAGACTACATAATAGGGCTGGGACGAGTCAAACTCACTGTGAGATGGTAACGTATCCGTTAACCTTCTAGCACCTCACGGGTTGTAGACTACATAATAGGGCTGGGACGAGTCAAACTCACTGTGAGATGGTAACGTATCCGTTAACCTTCTAGCACCTCACGGGTTGTAGACTACATAATAGGGCTGGGACGAGTCAAACTCACTGTGAGATGGTAACGTATCCGTTAACCTTCTAGCACCTCACGGGTTGTAGACTACATAATAGGGCTGGGACGAGTCAAACTCACTGTGAGATGGTAACGTACCTGTAAACCTTCTAGCACCTCACGGGTTGTAGACTACATAATAGGGCTGGGACGAGTCAAACTCACTGTGAGATGGTAACATATCCGTTAACCTTCTAGCACCTCACGGGTTGTAGACTACATAATAGGGCTGGGACGAGTCAAACTCACTGTGAGATGGTAACATATCCGTTAACCTTCTAGCACCTCACGGGTTGTAGACTACATAATAGGGCTGGGACGAGTCAAACTCACTGTGAGATGGTAACGTATCCGTTAACCTTCTAGCACCTCACGGGTTGTAGACTACATAATAGGGCTGGGACGAGTCAAACTCACTGTGAGATGGTAACGTATCCGTTAACCTTCTAGCACCTCACGGGTTGTAGACTACATAATAGGGCTGGGACGAGTCAAACTCACTGTGAGATGGTAACATATCCGTTAACCTTCTAGCACCTCACGGGTTGTAGACTACATAATAGGGCTGGGACGAGTCAAACTCACTGTGAGATGGTAACGTACCTGTAAACCTTCTAGCACCTCACAGGTTGTAGACTACATAATAGGGCTGGGACGAGTCAAACTCACTGTGAGATGGTAACATATCCGTTAACCTTCTAGCACCTCACGGGTTGTAGACTACATAATAGGGCTGGGACGAGTCAAACTCACTGTGAGATGGTAACATATCCGTTAACCTTCTAGCACCTCACGGGTTGTAGACTACATAATAGGGCTGGGACGAGTCAAACTCACTGTGAGATGGTAACGTATCCGTTAACCTTCTAGCACCTCACGGATTGTAGACTACATAATAGGGCTGGGACGAGTCAAACTCACTGTGAGATGGTAACGTATCCGTTAACCTTCTAGCACCTCACGGGTTGTAGACTACATAATAGGGCTGGGACGAGTCAAACTCACTGTGAGATGGTAACGTACCTGTAAACCTTCTAGCACCTCACAGGTTGTAGACTACATAATAGGGCTGGGACGAGTCAAACTCACTGTGAGATGGTAACGTATCCGTTAACCTTCTAGCACCTCACGGGTTGTAGACTACATAATAGGGCTGGGACGAGTCAAACTCACTGTGAGATGGTAACGTATCTGTTAACCTTCTAGCACCTCACGGGTTGTAGACTACATAATAGGGCTGGGACGAGTCAAACTCACTGTGAGATGGTAACGTACCTGTAAACCTTCTAGCACCTCACGGGTTGTAGACTACATAATAGGGCTGGGACGAGTCAAACTCACTGTGAGATGGTAACATATCCGTTAACCTTCTAGCACCTCACGGGTTGTAGACTACATAATAGGGCTGGGACGAGTCAAACTCACTGTGAGATGGTAACATATCCGTTAACCTTCTAGCACCTCACGGGTTGTAGACTACATAATAGGGCTGGGACGAGTCAAACTCACTGTGAGATGGTAACGTATCCGTTAACCTTCTAGCACCTCACGGGTTGTAGACTACATAAAAGGGCTGGGACGAGTCAAACTCACTGTGAGATGGTAACATATCCGTTAACCTTCTAGCACCTCACGGGTTGTAGACTACATAATAGGGCTGGGACGAGTCAAACTCACTGTGAGATGGTAACGTATCCGTTAACCTTCTAGCACCTCACGGGTTGTAGACTACATAATAGGGCTGGGACGAGTCAAACTCACTGTGAGATGGTAACGTACCTGTAAACCTTCTAGCACCTCACGGGTTGTAGACTACATAATAGGGCTGGGACGAGTCAAACTCACTGTGAGATGGTAACATATCCGTTAACCTTCTAGCACCTCACGGGTTGTAGACTACATAATAGGGCTGGGACGAGTCAAACTCACTGTGAGATGGTAACATATCCGTTAACCTTCTAGCACCTCACGGGTTGTAGACTACATAATAGGGCTGGGACGAGTCAAACTCACTGTGAGATGGTAACGTATCCGTTAACCTTCTAGCACCTCACGGGTTGTAGACTACATAATAGGGCTGGGACGAGTCAAACTCACTGTGAGATGGTAACGTATCCGTTAACCTTCTAGCACCTCACGGGTTGTAGACTACATAATAGGGCTGGGACGAGTCAAACTCACTGTGAGATGGTAACATATCCGTTAACCTTCTAGCACCTCACGGGTTGTAGACTACATAATAGGGCTGGGACGAGTCAAACTCACTGTGAGATGGTAACGTACCTGTAAACCTTCTAGCACCTCACAGGTTGTAGACTACATAATAGGGCTGGGACGAGTCAAACTCACTGTGAGATGGTAACATATCCGTTAACCTTCTAGCACCTCACGGGTTGTAGACTACATAATAGGGCTGGGACGAGTCAAACTCACTGTGAGATGGTAACATATCCGTTAACCTTCTAGCACCTCACGGGTTGTAGACTACATAATAGGGCTGGGACGAGTCAAACTCACTGTGAGATGGTAACGTATCCGTTAACCTTCTAGCACCTCACGGATTGTAGACTACATAATAGGGCTGGGACGAGTCAAACTCACTGTGAGATGGTAACGTATCCGTTAACCTTCTAGCACCTCACGGGTTGTAGACTACATAATAGGGCTGGGACGAGTCAAACTCACTGTGAGATGGTAACGTACCTGTAAACCTTCTAGCACCTCACAGGTTGTAGACTACATAATAGGGCTGGGACGAGTCAAACTCACTGTGAGATGGTAACGTATCCGTTAACCTTCTAGCACCTCACGGGTTGTAGACTACATAATAGGGCTGGGACGAGTCAAACTCACTGTGAGATGGTAACGTATCTGTTAACCTTCTAGCACCTCACGGGTTGTAGACTACATAATAGGGCTGGGACGAGTCAAACTCACTGTGAGATGGTAACGTACCTGTAAACCTTCTAGCACCTCACGGGTTGTAGACTACATAATAGGGCTGGGACGAGTCAAACTCACTGTGAGATGGTAACATATCCGTTAACCTTCTAGCACCTCACGGGTTGTAGACTACATAATAGGGCTGGGACGAGTCAAACTCACTGTGAGATGGTAACATATCCGTTAACCTTCTAGCACCTCACGGGTTGTAGACTACATAATAGGGCTGGGACGAGTCAAACTCACTGTGAGATGGTAACGTATCCGTTAACCTTCTAGCACCTCACGGGTTGTAGACTACATAAAAGGGCTGGGACGAGTCAAACTCACTGTGAGATGGTAACATATCCGTTAACCTTCTAGCACCTCACGGGTTGTAGACTACATAATAGGGCTGGGACGAGTCAAACTCACTGTGAGATGGTAACGTACCTGTAAACCTTCTAGCACCTCACAGGTTGTAGACTACATAATAGGGCTGGGACGAGTCAAACTCACTGTGAGATGGTAACATATCCGTTAACCTTCTAGCACCTCACGGGTTGTAGACTACATAATAGGGCTGGGACGAGTCAAACTCACTGTGAGATGGTAACGTATCCGTTAACCTTCTAGCACCTTACGGGTTGTAGACTACATAATAGGGCTGGGACGAGTCAAACTCACTGTGAGATGGTAACGTATCCGTTAACCTTCTAGCACCTCACGGATTGTAGACTACATAATAGGGCTGGGACAAGTCAAACTCACTGTGAGATTGTAACGTATCCGTTAACCTTCTAGCACCTCACGGGTTGTAGACTACATAATAGGGCTGGGACGAGTCGAAATTTACTACCCGGGTACCCACCCCTCTATTACCCGACCCTACCCGGGTACCCACTGTAGGTCTCAGGAGATGTCTCAAAATGTCCGATTCGGAACATTTTTAGCATAACCCTGGCAAAACGTATTTAGATACACATATTAAACAATCTGGTCATTCATCCACTGAAGTTGAATAAGTTATATCTTTATTCAACCATATGAAAAATCAGAAGGAATGGGTGCATTGTCAGAAAGAAATGTTAACATTTGTGACTTGTAGTGTAACCATAGAGTTCTAGATAATTTTTGTCATGAAACAATAGCTCACGTGACTAACCACGGGTCCGCGTAGTCCTGTGGGTACCCGGGTCCTACTCAGTACCCACCTGACCCGGGTACCCAGGTTACCCTCCCAGCCCTACTACATAAGGACCTGAATCTCGAGTGCACAATGATCCGTTGACCAGGGTTGATTATGATGGAAAGGTGTGTTGCCATGGCAATGCTAAATTGTTAAAAGAGATTTTTTTGTTATTATCTACAGGAAGAAAGAATGATCAAGATTTACAGTTTTGATCTAAGATTATAAGTTGATTTTTAACATCTTTAAATGAATGAGAATACTGAAATTTAAGCAATTCTCATCCCTGTTTCAGTATGTGGAGTTTATAGCAGCCCTCCTGTCAATCTGCTGTATGATATTTCTGGGATTTGCTGACGATGTCCTTGACCTTAAGTGGCGACACAAGCTGATGCTGCCGACGATGGCATCCCTCCCGCTACTGATGGTGTACTTCGTCAACTTCAACTCTACCACCATCATTGTACCCAAACCCCTGCGGATGCTGGTCGGGTATGATGTCAACCTAGGTAAGACATAGTGGCTGCTTTGCTCAGATCTGGGGCGGGCGGGTAGCATAGTGGTTAAAGTGTTCGCTCGTCACCCCGAAGACCTGGGTTTGACTCCTGACATGGGTACAATGTGTGAAGCCCATTCGTGGTGTCCCCCGCCGTGATATTGCTGGAATATTGCTAAAAGCGGCGTAAGACCAAACTCACTCGCTCACTCACTTTGCTCTGATTCACCATCACTGTCAAAGATATCAGCTTGGCATATTGCCCTGTGTGAAGTGGACCGCCTCCAAGGTCTAGTGGTAGAGCGTTCGCCCGAAGAGCGGAAGGTCTGGGGTTCAATCCCCAGCCGCGTCATACCAAAAGATTTTAAAAGATGGTACTTGTGTATATTCCACAGGGACGGTGTACTATGTCTATATTCCACAGGGATGCTGTACTATGTATAAATTCCACAGGTTTACTGTACTATGTATAAATTCCACACATTTACTGTACTATGTATATATTCCACAGGGATGGTGTACTATGTATATATTCCACAGGGATGCTGTACTATGTATAAATTCCACAGGTTTACTGTACTATGTATATATTCCACACATTTACTGTACTATGTATATATTCCACAGGTTTACTGTACTATGTATATATTCAACAGGTTTACTGTACTATGTATATTTTCCACAGGTTTACTGTACTATGTATATATTCCACAGGGATGCTGTACTATGTATATATTCCACAGGTTTACTGTACTATGTATATATTCCACAGGTTTACTGTACTATGTATATATTCCACAGGGATGCTGTACTATGTATATATTCCACAGGTTTACTGTACTATGTATATTTTCCACAGGTTTACTGTACTATGTATATATTCCACAGGTTTACTGTACTATGTATATATTCCACAGGGGTGCTGTACTATGTATATATTCCACAGGTTTACTGTATTATCTATATATTCCACAGGTTTACTGTACTATCTATATATTCAACAGGGGTGCTGTACTATCTATATATTCCACAGGTTTACTGTATTATCTATATATTCCACAGGGGTGCAGTACTATGTATATATTCCACAGGTTTACTGTACTATGTATATATTCCACAGTTTTACTGTACTATGTATATATTCCACAGGTTTACTGTACTATGTATATATTCCACAGGGATGCTGTACTATGTATATATTCCACAGTTGTACTGTACTATGTATATATTCCACAGGGATGCTGTACTATGTATATATTCCACAGGGATGCTGTCCTATGTATATATTCCACAGTTTTACTGTCCTATGTATATATTCCACAGGGATGCTGTACTATGTATATATTCCAAGGGATTGCTGTACTATGTATATATTCCACAGGGATGCTGTACTTTGTTTATATTCCACAGGTTTACTGTACTATGTGTATATTCCACAGGTTTACTGTACTATGTATATATTCCACAGGGATGCTGTACTTTGTTTATATTCCACAGGGATGCTGTACTATGTATATATTCCACAGGTTTACTGTACTATGTATATATTCCACAGGGATGCTGTACTATGTATATATTCCACAGGTTTACTGTACTATGTATATATTCCACAGGGATGCTGTACTTTGTTTATATTCCACAGGTTTACTGTACTATGTGTATATTCCACCGGTTTACTGTACTATGTATATATTGCACAGGTTTACTGTACTTTGTTTATATTCCACAGGTTTACTGTACTATGTGTATATTCCACAGGTTTACTGTCCTATGTATATTTTGCACAGGGATGCTGTACTATGTATATATTCCAAGGGATTGCTGTACTATGTATATATTCCACAGGGATGCTGTACTTTGTTTATATTCCACAGGTTTACTGTACTATGTGTATATTCCACAGGTTTACTGTACTATGTATATATTGCACAGGTTTACTGTACTTTGTTTATATTCAACAGGGATGCTGTACTTTGTTTATATTCCACAGGTTTACTGTACTATGTGTATATTCCACAGGTTTACTGTACTATGTATATATTGCACAGGTTTACTGTACTATGTATATATTCCACAGGGGTGCTGTACTATGTATATATTCCACAGGTTTACTGTATTATCTATATATTCCACAGGTTTACTGTACTATCTATATATTCAACAGGGGTGCTGTACTATCTATATATTCCACAGGTTTACTGTATTATCTATATATTCCACAGGGGTGCAGTACTATGTATATATTCCACAGGTTTACTGTACTATGTATATATTCCACAGTTTTACTGTACTATGTATATATTCCACAGGTTTACTGTACTATGTATATATTCCACAGGGATGCTGTACTATGTATATATTCCACAGTTGTACTGTACTATGTATATATTCCACAGGGATGCTGTACTATGTATATATTCCACAGGGATGCTGTCCTATGTATATATTCCACAGTTTTACTGTCCTATGTATATATTCCACAGGGATGCTGTACTATGTATATATTCCAAGGGATTGCTGTACTATGTATATATTCCACAGGGATGCTGTACTTTGTTTATATTCCACAGGTTTACTGTACTATGTGTATATTCCACAGGTTTACTGTACTATGTATATATTCCACAGGGATGCTGTACTTTGTTTATATTCCACAGGGATGCTGTACTATGTATATATTCCACAGGTTTACTGTACTATGTATATATTCCACAGGGATGCTGTACTATGTATATATTCCACAGGTTTACTGTACTATGTATATATTCCACAGGGATGCTGTACTTTGTTTATATTCCACAGGTTTACTGTACTATGTGTATATTCCACCGGTTTACTGTACTATGTATATATTGCACAGGTTTACTGTACTTTGTTTATATTCCACAGGTTTACTGTACTATGTGTATATTCCACAGGTTTACTGTCCTATGTATATTTTGCACAGGGATGCTGTACTATGTATATATTCCAAGGGATTGCTGTACTATGTATATATTCCACAGGGATGCTGTACTTTGTTTATATTCCACAGGTTTACTGTACTATGTGTATATTCCACAGGTTTACTGTACTATGTATATATTGCACAGGTTTACTGTACTTTGTTTATATTCAACAGGGATGCTGTACTTTGTTTATATTCCACAGGTTTACTGTACTATGTGTATATTCCACAGGTTTACTGTACTATGTATATATTGCACAGGTTTACTGTACTTTGTTTATATTCCACAGGGTTGCTGTACTATGTATACATGGGGATGCTGGCTGTGTTCTGTACCAATGCGATCAACATTTTGTCTGGGGTCAACGGCTTGGAGGTTGGACAGTCCTGGGTCATAGCAGTCTCTGTACTCATCCATAACTTTATAGAACTCTCAGGTAAACCATAGATCTTCACTCTTTTTGTTACATATCTCTCTATGAATAGGTTGTTACCCAAACAGTGTATGTGTAGATCATGTATTTCCCCTTCATAACAGCAACCCATGCTTGCCGTAAAAGGTGACTATGCTTGCCGTAAAAGGTGACTATGCTTGTCGTAAAAGGCGACTAACGGGATCGGGTGGTCAGGCTTGCTGACTTGGTTGATGCATGTCATCGATCCCAATTGCGTGGATCGATGCTCATGATGTCAATCACTGGATTGTCTGGTCCAGACTCGATTATTTACAGACCGCCGTCATATAGCTGGAATATTGCTGAGTGCGGCGTAAAACAACAAACCAACCTTCATAACCATTGTTGATACTGTAGGACTTGTATACTCTATCACACTGTCGTCCCTTTCATGTGCCTATATAGACTAACACAGTCCTGTTGTTTTTGATCAAGCTAATGAAAGGCAGCCATGTATAACTGATGCAGGGTTAGAAATTAGCACTAGTCCTATAGTCCTTGCCAAACTGCCCAATAGTTAAAGGGCAAGTTCACACGGAAATGAACCTATTTTTCTTGTACTTTTTCCACATTAAAAGTGTTAACCTAGACGTGTCATAGACAAAAATAAAAAAATATCACAATTAATTAACATATTTTTCGCATTAAAACGATTTATATTTTTCACATTTACCAAGTGTTCTATTTCCACAACAAAAACACCATGGCTTATGCCCCTTGCAATATGACGTCATTGGTGCCAATTGATAAACATTATGACGTCATCATGCTTTGTTAGAGCCGCTTCACGTGGTGTAGGTCTAGGTGTGTGATTCTAGCGTCTCAGATGCCAGCCAGCATAGTGTTATGCTGAGTCACTACTGCGCCGGAGTGTGTCGTAGACCATGTTGTTTTACCGCAAACTGGTCCTTGATATCTTTTGCGTTGAGAATAGACAGGGACCCAGTTGAATTGGCACCAATTACGTCATAATCTAAGGGGGATAACTCAGGCCTGTTTAGCTCGAAAAACGAAGGCCTCATAACGGCATATCATTTTCACACTATTGTGAGCTTCCTACTTTCACTGTGAAAAAAATGAGTGTATATTTTCAAACACAGATACTACTTAATTCTAAAATTGCGTTTTGTTTAGAAAAAGAAAGAAAGTGATTTTTGCATGTACACTTCCCCTTTAAGGTATCATAAGGACAAGTAAAAAATTGCAATTTTTAGGGGTTTCGTTTATATTATCATCATAAGGACTAGTGGACCAAAAATGTTAGTATCTACCGCTGTGATGGCTGTCAAATAGGCCCTACTCTGCGCTTGAGTCTTGTGTGAACCCTACCCTGCCTGACACGTCAGTGTTCCCTTTTACAGGTAATTACCAGATTTTTACCGGTAAAATAAGGCTTGGACCGGTAATTCATGTGACTGCCAGTCCCTGTGGACCGGCAAATAAAGTACCTTATAAATAAACATTGGCGATATTCATATAAGTATGTAGTCAGCTTGTCTGTTACCATCAGGGTTTCCCCTTGTCGAGTTTTCGTGCAAGGAAATAACATTAGCTTTTCTTTAAGGTTTAAATATATATTTTAGACTAAGCCACAAAAAAACAAAAAACCTGTGACTTAACTTTGTGAGAATGACATATAGATCTAACTAGGTTACTTCAGAGATGACGCCATTGCATTTTACATGATGTTGAAACAATTAAAACCAGGTCATTTTCAACCCATCTTCCTGTGGCAAGGGAGTTAACTGACTACAAAGTCCAGTTTCCACCCTTGCCGAACTAGGCTGGTATTATGGAGTAACATTTTGGCTGGACTAACGAGTCTATGCATAGTCCAATCAAAATCGCGCACTGAAATCGAAATCCGCTGCTCACATGATTTGATGCATTTCGCGATGTAAGAACCGTTTTATCACAATATAGATCTTGATTATCGATCAGATCGTCCTGGTTGGGCACCACCATTTTGTGTGAAGCAACGCAAGTGATACGTGAGGTGGATTGGTCTGATTGGTCAATAGGAGAGGCTTAGAAGGGACATAACGTAATAGCAACTGGTGGCGCAACGATTGAGCCCAGTAATTCCAGCCTAGTTCGGCAAGGGTGGAAACTGGACTTTTAAAGTCAGTTAACGCCCTTGTCTCGGGAAGATGTTTTCAACCAAACTTTTATTGGTTGAAAGTTTGGACTGACAAAAATTAGAGGCGGCACTTTCGAAGGCAAGCAGGAACACTGCAGTGAATCAACATGTAGAGTAGATGTCCCGTCTACATGGCCATGGTACAGGCTGCATACACTGTCAAGGGGAAACAGACCCTGATACAAATATATATAAAAAATGAGCCCATGCAAGTCTATAATGTTTAGCAAGTCTAGATCACTGCAGTATCTTAGTCTGTCTTACAGACCCTGATACAAATATATCAAATACAGCCGATGCAAGTCTATAATGTTTGGCAAGTCTAGATCACTGCAGTATCATAGTCTGTCTTACAGACCCTGATACAAATATATATCAAATACAGCCCATGCAAGTCTATAATGTTTGGCAAGTCTAGATCACTGCAGTATCTTAGTCTGTCTTACAGACCCTGATACAAATATATCAAATACAGCAGATGCAAGTCTATAATGTTTAGCAAGTCTAGATCACTGCAGTATCATAGTCTGTCTTACAGACCCTGATACAAATATATATCAAATACAGCCCATGCAAGTCTATAATGTTTGGCAAGTCTAGATCACTGCAGTATCTTAGTCTGTCTTACAGACCCTGATACAAATATATCAAATACAGCAGATGCAAGTCTATAATGTTTAGCAAGCCTAGATCACTGCAGTATCATAGTCTGTCTTACAGACCCTGATACAAATATATATTAAATACAGCCCATGCAAGTCTATAATGTTTGGCAAGTCTAGATCACTGCAGTATCTTAGTCTGTCTTACAGACCCTGATACAAATATATCAAATACAGCAGATGCAAGTCTATAATGTTTAGCAAGTCTAGATCACTGCAGTATCATAGTCTGTCTTACAGACTCTGATACAAATATATCAAATACAGCCCATGCAAGTCTATAATGTTTGGCAAGTCTAGATCACTGCAGTATCATAGTCTGTCTTACAGACCCTGATACAAATATATATCAAATACAGCCCATGCAAGTCTATAATGTTTGGCAAGTCTAGATCACTGCAGTATCTGAAAATGAAGAGAGTCACTGGGCTCCTTTTATTATATTTTTATTAAGATAACTGAACAACTGTTTTTTTCTGTACGATATGTTCATTTCAGAGACTAGATGTTAGTCTAGCATGATAGAAGCTAGGGCTACAACGGGTCCAAAACTATGGACTCGAGTACCCGAGGGGTAAGACTCGGCTCGTGCTCGAGTACCCGCAATTATACATCTGTTCAATAAAATTGGCAATTATCCTATCGAATACAAAATGAAAGAGTGAATACAGAATGAAAGAGACATCGTAGATCACTAAGAAAAAAAATATGATCGCGTATCAAATAAAATACTTTTGAAATTTGTATGCTGATTCGCTGAAGCTTCACTGAAATAAGAATTGTCAACTTGGGAAAAGAAACGTTTCAGTGTATCACACGCCACGTTCAGGGTGAAAAATGAAAATAATATTACACACGTGATCGTCACGTGATGTATGTTGCGATTGGTCAATGGCTGAATTAATAATGATTGACGTTACGACGCTAATTTAGAATGAATGGGTCGACAGTTTAATAGTTTCGTAAAACATCCCTTTTAAACAAGCAATAAAGTGCTTTTTTAAACCAGGAAATTTCCTTATGAAATGGTTGTAAATAAGTGTATTGTTTCGAAAAATAACGAAAAAGAAAAGCTATTGACACTTTCATTTGATTTAATTGATTACTCCTGAAAAAGAAAGTTACATAAAGACACGTTTCTATTAACTTATTGAAAGTCCACCAAATTAGAGTTATCTCCCTTGGTCGAGTAATCGAGTCATTCAAACTGGACTCGTGCCCGAGTACTCGAGTACTCTTTGAAGCCCTAATAGAAGCTGAAATCTCAATGGTCTGACCATATGCTTGCTTCGGTTTTCCTGGAACCAGACCTATGACTGGTTCATTGGTTAAAACTAGCAAGTTCACCGCAGAGCAGCACTGTGTATTCACAGGGATGGAGGAACGTAGTGTATAACACCTTGAAATAGTGACAGGGTTCCATAACAAACAAGGGATACCATATTTTCTTGAGTATAGTGCGCACCCAAGTATAATGCGAACCCTCTAGCGGATTCAGTATTTTGGAGAAAAATAAATTGGGATATTATGGGAAGAAAAATATTACACCGTACCCCTTCAGCGAATTCTGGTAAACGAATGGGTGATTAGAAACTTTGTCAGTACAAATTTGAAATTTGAGATAAAAAATCACAAGACATGTTGATTTACCGTTTAAATTGTATTTTTTGTTCTCTATATGACTATTATCATAATATTTCATTATGTCTTGCATCAGGTGAGCTACAATAGGTTTGCTTGACCATTCAGACGATGTTGAAATGGGATATAAATGGTTATATTCTCCAATTTATCATTGCAGGAGAATATCGGTCCAATCATGTCTTCTCCATGTATTTCATAAAGCCTTTCTTCGGAGAGCGGAAGGTCCGGGGTTCGATCCCTGGCCGCGTCATACCAAAAGACGTTAAAAGATGGTACTTGTTGTTACCCTGTCTGGCGCTCGGCATTAAGGGGCTAAAACAAGGACTGGTTGGCTCGGAGTCAGTGTACTGTGTCTGAGTGGGGTATTCATGTTAAACTGCGGCATGGTATCTCAGTGTGCTAGCACTATAAATCGGCATCAGTCCGGACTAGTACAAGCAGCCACATACACGTGCATGCACGTCGTTATATAAGTACAATAATCTTGGACGCGACGTTAAACCCCATTTCAACTCACCTCAATTTGTCATTGCAGGAGACTATCGGTCCAATCATGTCTTCTCCATGTATTTCATAATGCCTTTCTTCGGAGTGTGTTCAGCGCTACTTTATTACAACTGGTGAGTTTGCAAACATTAGAACATGTTATCGGTGTAATTATTGTAGAGGATTTATCCTTGTACACTCAGTGAGCTCCGTGCCAAGTGTCACAGTTGCCTTGACAAGACTTAGTATCTGTTTGTTGTTGGTCCAGAACTCCATCCATATGAAGGCGGCCTGTAATTAATAGAGCAATGGGTTACTGTAAATCTTGACATTAATGTGTCTCCAAATTAATACGACTGCTGACCCCAAGCCAAAAATCTGACTTCCCCGTCCTCATCCCCAGTGGATTGATATCCTTACCTTCTTCCAGACCCGTGAAGATCCGGGGTGGAATAGGTCTTCAGCAACCCATACTTGCCGTAAAAGGCGACTATGCTTGTCGTAAAAGGCGACTGGGGATCGGGTGGTCAGGCTCGCTGACTTGGTTGATGCATTTCATCGATCACAAATGCGTGGATTGATGCTCATGATGTCAATCACGATTGACTGGTCCAGACTCGATTATTTACAGACCGCCGTCATATAGCTGGAATATTGCTGAGTGCGGCGTTAAACAACAAACAAACAAACAAACCTTATTCCAACCTATGCTTAATCCAATCAAACAGCAAATAGCCCTGCTTATTAGCAGTGAGAAAAGAACTTCTGTAAAAACAAAAAACAGTGTTTTTAAAAAAACAACACACAGTTTATATGTTTATTCTGTTCACTGGCATCAAGGAAGTTCAAAGGCAATAAAATCATAGAACCAACAGCAGTTCACTGATTGGAGTGGTCAATGATGCCTAGTTTGACACGAGTGGGTAGAACTCTTGACCCCTTGATGCTGGTCCACCCCTTGGGGATTCCAGGTTAGAATAGATCCCCAGCAACCTGTGCTGGTCCACCCCGTGGGGATTCCAGGCTGTGGGGATTTCGGGTTAGAATAGATCCTGAGCAACCTAAGCTGGTCCACCCTGTGGGGATTCCAGGCTGTGGGGATTCCAGGTTAGAATAGATCCCCAGCAACCTGTGCTGGTCCACCCTGTGGGGATTCCAGGCTGTGGGGATTTCGGGTTAGAATAGATCCTGAGCAACCTAAGCTGGTCCACCCTGTGGGGATTCCAGGCTGTGGGGATTTCGGGTTAGAATAGATCCTGAGCAACCTAAGCTGGTCCACCCTGTGGGGATTCCAGGCTGTGGGGATTCCGGGTTATAATAGATCCCAAGCAACCTGTGCTGGTCCACCCTGTGGGGATTCCAGGCTGTGGGGATTTCGGGTTAGAATAGATCCCCAGCAACCTGTGCTGGTCCACCCTGTGGGGATTCCAGGCTGTGGGGATTTCGGGTTAGAATAGATCCCCAGCAACCTATGCTGGTCCACCCTGTTGGCATTCCAGGCTGTGGGGATTTTGGGTTAGAATAGATCCCCAGCAACCTGTGCTGGTCCACCCTGTGGGGATTCCAGGCTGTGGGGATTTCGGGTTAGAATAGATCCTGAGCAACCTATGCTGGTCCACCCTGTGGGGATTCCAGGCTGTGGGGATTTCGGGTTAGAATAGATCCTCAGCAACCTGTGCTGGTCCACCCTGTGGGGATTCCAGGCTGTGGGGATTCCGGGTTAGAATAGATCCCCAGCAACCTGTGCTGGTCCACCCTGCGGGGATTCCAGGCTGTGGGGATTTCGGGTTAGAATAGATCCCCAGCAACCTGTGCTGGTCCACCCTGTGGGGATTCCAGGCTGTGGGGATTTCAGGTTAGAATAGATCCCCAGCAACCTATGCTGGTCCACCCTGTGGGGATTCCAGGCTGTGGGGATTTCGGGTTAGAATAGATCCCCAGCAACCTATGCTGGTCCACCCCGTGGGGATTCCAGGCTGTGGGGATTCCGGGTTAGAATAGATCCCCAGCAACCTATGCTGGTCCACCCTGTTTGCATTCCAGGCTAGTTATTATGGAATTATTATGGTTCTGTTCGGATGAACAAAACCTTCCAAATTGCGTGCTGGTTTTCTTGGGGGAATTAGTCAGCAAAGAGCCAGAGTCACAAGAGACTGGTTACAATTTAATTTACAAGAACAATTAACAATGAACAATTTACAAATCTTAGAATATAGCTGAGGGTGCCGCAGAGAGTCGGTACAACCCTCTGGGCAGTGGGAGAGAGATCTGCTTGGTATGAGCGTCAAACCCCTTCTGCCTAACATTTTGCTTCTGTATGTATTTAACAAAAATTAGAACAATAAAAAGGAATATGATTGGTTGATACACGATTGGTTGTGCCCTATGCTAAATGAATGGCTAGACAGAGGTGAATACTTAATCCTGTTAATCCTGTTGGACTGTTACTAATCTTGTTGACATATTTACTGGGTGCTTGGAAAGAGATTATGGTGTCACTATAGACGAGCTTGTAGGGGGGCTAATCTTTAATGAGTCTAAATTGAAGTAATTGCTGAATGTTATTCTAATATAGGTGATGACAGATTTACTTAAATAAAATTGTTCACGGCAATCTATAAGACTATGTAGACATATCTTTTGTTTGGGAGATGGGATCTTGATACCTTAGGCTAGCATTTATCTAAAAGCTTCAAATCTATTAAACTATGTAGACATAACTCTTGTCTTATTGAATAGTATGTCTAGGAGATGCGCTCCCATTACCTTAGGCTAGCATCCATCTAAAAAGCTATAAGTGAAACTACTGATATTTTATATATGCATTTTACCTGATGATAAGTATTACTTGCTAAACTATAATTATATGAAATGATGTATAAATATTACACCATGATAACTCATAAAAGCACTTCATGTGGATCATATTATTATAGGAAAACTTAGTATAAATGTTATATCTTGATACTAGAATAGCTCCCAAGCAACCCATGCTGGTTGAAGAGGCAACTGGATGGATCGTGATCATTGCTCATAATATCAATCACTGGATTGGTGCACACATGGTTATTTACAGCCTAATGTTATTTTGATGGAATATTTCTGTGCTGCCTTTAACAACAAATAAATGAAACAGACACAAAAAGTGGAAGAAAATATTGCGATAATTCTGTCTGTCCTTCACATTCTTAGATTTTTTTGTGATATTGATGAGCTTCCTGTTGTATCTGCAACATTAACGTTTACTTCATTGCAAGTTAGATGTTCGGTTGATTTTATTGTTGTTAAAAATAGTGTTTGATTCCAACTGAGGTGCCTGGGGGTATCATAGATAAGGGGGAATACATTTCTAAAGGACCCGTGAAGATCCGGGGTGGAATAGGTCTTCAGCAACCCATGCTTGCCGTAAAAGGCGACTATGCTTGTCGTAAAAGGCGACTAACGGGATCGGGTGGTCAGGCTCGCTGACTTGGTTGATGCATGTCATCGATCCCAATTGCGTGGATCGATGCTCATGATGTCAATCACTGGATTGTCTGTCTGGTTATTTACCGACCGCGGTCATATAGCTGGAATATTGCTGAGTGCGGCGTTAAACAACAAACCAACCAACCAGCCAACATTTCTGTCAGAAATGCCAGAAAAATGATTTTTGTAGTCTATGCGAATGCACTGGCTGGTGTGAGGTCATCGCCTCAGGACGGGTGTTAGGTAATTACCTCAGGTTTTAGGCCGTTTCATACATGCATGACAACACACGAATATATCTTTTTATCATCATTTTACCTGTTTTAGGCTAATCACAGAGTCAGTTAGGATAGGCTTGATTAGGTAGATTGGTGTTATGTTGATGTATGCTATTTTCATAGCCCTATGATTCTTATTTACATAGCTCCAGATAACGTTTTGAGCAATTGAGTTTTTACTCTATGATGTGGATTTTAATTTGGTTATTACATTTTTAATTGGGTAACCAATAATTTTTCACTCATCTATTCATCACTCTATTGGGTTTTTCCCAAAATTAGTAAACAATATAAGATTTTAAAAAATGAAATAATGTTTAATGTATGTAACTGTTCTAAATATATAGGCTTGACTCGGAAAGTAAATTAGCTCGTAATTATGTTTCGTAAATGAGCTCCTTTGTACGCATGCTGAATAAGCTTCATTGGGTATTTACTCGTGCTGCTTTTATACATTTGAGTTTTTCATTTAATGCATGCGTGTCTGTACGCAAGTTGATTGAAAGTAATTGGGTTTTGAATATTTTGATGGGGTATTTTACGCAAATACGCTGCTTATCTGAAGTTCTGTATTTTATAAATGACGCCAGAAAAGCATTTCACTAGAATTTCCATCAGTACACCTCCACGCCCCATGACTGCTATTAACTTACTCTTCCCAAGGTACCCGTCGAGAGTGTTTGTTGGGGACACGTTCTGCTACTTCGCGGGGATGACATTTGCAGTTGTCGCCATCCTCGGACACTTCAGCAAGACCATGCTGCTCTTCTTTGCCCCCCAAATCTTCAACTTCATATACTCCGTGCCACAGTTGTTTAAACTGGTGCCCTGTCCTCGACATCGATTACCTAAGTAAGTATTACATGACTTGAGACCGATTTCTTACAGTTGTCAGCTGGTGCCCTACTCGCGACATTGCCTACCTAAGACATCGCTTACCTAAGTAGGTATTACATGACTGAGACAGATCTCTTGCAGTCTTAAGGTGGTGCCCTACTCTTGACATCGCCTACCTAAGTAGGTATTACATGACTGAGACAGATCTCTTTCCTTTATTAACAAGTGCTTTACCAACATAGCTTACCTAAGTCGGTATTATGTGACATTAGCACACCCATTGAAACACATACTCAGATTCATAGGGGACAGAGGGGGAGTAGGGAAGCGTGTGGGCGTGGTGCACTTCTATTTAGAATACTTACCATGTATATGTTTATAAAATCTATAGATTTTTGTTTATTCTAAGTGTAAACGTATCACAACACCATAGCTAAATCATTTCAAAATATGTTTTCAACCAAAGTAGAAATAAAAACTTGTGATCCACACTGAGCCATACTGTTTACTAATCAATCAGTGAGGACCAACAGATAGGTAGAAACAAATTTAAGTTATATGCCATCATGTCTGCATCCATTTGCCCTTCAGATATGACCCCAAGTCTGACAAAGTTGGTATGAGTTACACAACTTTCAAGAAGCGTGACCTTCACCCTGTTGGTGACCTGTGTCTAAAGGTCATGAGGTCACTGTTCCTGGTGGAGGTGAAGGACAGACAGGGGGAGGACGGGGAGTTGATTGAGTGCAACAACCTGACTCTCAATAACCTCATTCTCAAGTTTGTGGGGCCCCTGCATGAAAAAACGCTGGTTGTTATAATTCTGTGTTTTCAGGTGAGTGCAACTTGAGCCTGGTCTAAGCCATCTCTCACCACATCTTCCTGAGGCAAGGGCGTTAACTGACTATTAAAGTCCAGTTTCCACCCTTGAGCTTGCTCTAAGACATCTCTCACCACATCTTCCTGAGGCAAGGGCGTTAACTGACTATACAAGTCCAGTTTCAACCCTTGAGCCTGCTCTAAGACATCTCTCACCACATCTTCCTGAGGCAAGGGCGTTAACTGACTATAAAAGTCCAGTTTCCACCCTTGAGCCTGCTCTAAGACATCTCTCACCACATCCTCCTGAGGCAAGGGCGTTAACTGACTATAAAAGTCCAGTTTCCACCCTTGAGCCTGCTCTAAGACATCTCTCACCACATCTTCCTGAGGCAAGGGCGTTAACTGACTATAAAAGTCCAGTTTCCACCCTTGAGCCTGCTCTAAGACATCTCTCACCACATCTTCCTGAGGCAAGGGCGTTAACTGACTATAAAAGTCCAGTTTCCACCCTTGAGCCTGCTCTAAGACATCTCTCACCACATCCTCCTGAGGCAAGGGCGTTAACTGACTATAAAAGTCCAGTTTCCACCCTTGAGCCTGCTCTAAGACATCTCTCACCACATCCTCCTGAGGCAAGGGCGTTAACTGACTATAAAAGTCCAGTTTCCACCCTTGAGCCTGCTCTAAGACATCTCTCACAACATCCTCCTGAGGCAAGGGCGTTAACTGACTATAAAAGTCCAGTTTCCACCCTTGAGCCTGCTCTAAGACATCTCTCACCACATCTTCCTGAGGCAAGGGCGTTAACTGACTATAAAAGTCTAGTTTCCACCCTTGAGCCTGCCCTAAGACATCTCTCACCACATCTTCCTGAGGCAAGGGCATTAACTGACCTTTAAAGGTCCAGTCTCCACCCTTGAGCCTGCTCTATGACATCTCTCACCACATCCTCCTGAGGCAAGGGCGTTAACTGACTATAAAAGTCCAGTTTCCAACCTTGAGCCTGCCCTAAGACATCTCTCACCACATCCTCCTGAGGCAAGGGCGTTAACTGACTATTAAAGTCCAGTTTCCACCCTTGAGCCTGCTCTAAGACATCTCTCACCACATCTTCCTGAGGCAAGGATGTTAACTGACTATAAAAGTCCAGTTTCCACCCTTGAGCCTGCTCTAAGACATCTCTCACCACATCCTCCTGAGGCAAGGGCGTTAACTGACTATAAAAGTCCAGTTTCCACCCTTGAGCCTGCTCTAAGACATCTCTCACCACATCCTCCTGAGGCAAGGGCGTAAACTGACTATAAAAGTCCAGTTTCCACCCTTGTCGAACTAGGCTAGAATTTCTGGGTTCCATTGTAGCGCCACCAGTGGCTATCACAAGTTATGTCAAATATTTGTTCCTCCTGTTGACCAAACAGATTCCATCTCTCATATCACTTGCATTTGCTTCAAACAACATGACAGCGCCCAGGCAAGATGATCTGAACGATAATCAAGATCTATACTGTAATATAACAGGTCTTACCTCGCGAAGTGCATCAGTTCACTTGAGCACCTTGATTGAAAACATGAAAAGATTTGGAAAATATCTGTCGATGCCCAGTTAATGGTAACCATACTTTGCAAATCCTGCACTTTAAGCTCCATGCTGTTTATGAACTTGATATCTAGTTTGTTACGCGATTTTTATGGGACTGTGCGTAGACTTGTTAGTCCAGCCAAACAATTCCAGCTTAGTTCGGGAAAGGTGGAAACTGGACTTTTATGGTCAGTTAACTCCCTTGCCTCGGGAAGATGCTCAAACCATGACTGATCAGTTAGATACAGAAAATTTAGTGATGATGAGAGAGTGAGTGAGTGAGCGAGTTGGGTTTAACGCCGCTTTTAACATTATTCCAGTTATATCACGGTGTGTCAGCTTAATGTGGGAGGAAAGCCCGAATTGATGCAGGTCTCACACGTTTACCACTTCGGTGAACCCCACGAGCACGGGTATGGTGCTGACAAACCTAGAAACATAATCGGTGTGAACCGGGATTCGAACCCACAATCATAGGTTTCTGGCGTGTCCAGGGGACGCAACTCTGCACAGCGAATCGCGGCGCCTTAGCCGACTGGGCCACCCGTGCCCCCTTAATGATGATGTGACATGATTATAAACGTGTCCCGCCCACGGGATTTAGTCTGCAAAGTCTGTAACACAGACTAACAAATGTCAAGTGGCACAGCAACAAACAACAAGCATTATTGTTTTGTGATCAGTGAGTGAGTATGGTGTTTTGCAGCTTTTAGCAATATTCCAACACTATGCTGCTGGGACATTTTCCCAGGCTTGCACGCCACAGCCCTGTTTGTTTTTTTCAATTTTCTCAGTAAACTGTGCTTTTCATTGGAGTGGATTTCAAAAAGTTTCAAAAAGTTGTATGGTAGACATGTGGAGGACATTTCCAAATTTAAAGCATCAGGGACAAAAATGATGTCTGATGCAATTCCCTATCTTTACTTGACAAAAACAAATCAGCCCAGCAGATCTATTATACAAGAACAAATCAGTTCAGCAGATCTGTTGTACAAGAACAAATCGGTTCAGCAGATCTATTGTACAAGTACAAATCAGTTCAGCAGATCTATTATACAAGAACAAATCAGTCCAGCAGATCTATTGTACAACATGTACAAGAACAAATCAGTCCAGCAGATCTATTATACAAGAACAAATCAATTCAGCAGATCTATTGTACAAGTACAAATCAGTTCAGCAGATCTATTGTACAAGAACAAATCGGTTCAGCAGATCTATTATACAAGAACAATTCAGTTCAGCAGATCTATTGTACAAGTAAAAATCAGTTCAGCAGATCTATTGTACAAGAACAAATCGGTTCAGCAGATCTATTATACAAGAACAATTCAGTTCAGCAGATCTATTGTACAAGAACAAATCAGTTCAGCAGATCTATTGTACAAGAACAAATCAGTCCAGCAGATCTATTGTACAAGAACAAATCAGTTCAGCAGATCTATTGTACAAGAACAAATCAGTTCAGCAGATCTATTGTACAGAACAAATCAGTCCAGCAGATCTATTGTACAAGAACAAATCATTTCAGCAGATCTATTGTACAAGAACAAATCAGTCCAGCAGATCTACTGTACAAGAACAAATCAGTCCAGCAGATCTATTGTACAAGAACAAATCAGTTCAGCAGATCTATTGTACAAGAACAAATCAGTTCAGCAGATCTATTGTACAAGAACAAATCAGTTCAGCAGATCTATTGTACAAGAACAAATCAGTCCAGCAGATCTATTGTACAAGAACAAATCAGTTCAGCAGATCTATTATACAAGAACAAATCAGTCCAGCAGATCTATTATACAAGAACAAATCAGTTCAGCAGATCTATTGTACAAGAACAAATCAGTCCAGCTGATCTTTTGTACAAGAACAAATCAGTTCAGCAGATCTATTGTACAAGAACAAATCAGTTCAGCAGATCTATTGTACAAGAACAAATCAGTTCAGCAGATCTATTGTACAAGAACAAATCAGTCCAGCAGATCTATTGTACAAGAACAAATCAGTTCAGCAGATCTATTGTACAAGAACAAATCAGTCCAGCAGATCTATTATACAAGAACAATTCAGTTCAGCAGATCTATTGTACAAGAACAAATCAGTCCAGCTGATCTTTTGTACAAGAACAAATCAGTCCAGCAGATCTATTGTACAAGAACAAATCAGTTCAGCAGATCTATTGTACAAGAACAAGTCAGTTCAGCAGATCTATTGTACAAGAACAAATCAGTCCAGCAGATTTATTGTACAAGAACAAATCAGTTCAGCAGATCTATTGTACAAGAACAAATCAGCTCAGCAGATCTATTGTACAAGAACAAATCAGTTCAGCAGATCTGTTATACAAGAACAAATCAGTTCAGCAGATCTATTGTACAAGAACAAATTGGTGGGGTCTTGTGGACATTTATTTTGTCATATTTGTTGGATGAATGTTCACCTCCTCACTTTCACATTGCCATTTTGTTTTCCAGGTAGTTTGCAGCGCTGTTGCATTTCTCATCCGATATCAGCTGTCAAGACTCTTCTATGATTCATGAATCATGCCAGGATTCATCTGTTGTTTTGTTTTGCTTGTATTGTTAAGCTTTCGAGGAGACTTTTACACCATTCTTTGACTACAACACTGTTGATTATAGTCAATCCTATTTATTGCGACAGTAGTTTATCATAGAGAATCATGCTAAAAATTGCTATGTTGTCTCATTGCGATGTGTGCTTGAAGATTTACACAAACTGTTCATCTTTCTCCTTTGGACATATTGTACAGACTTTTCTTTTTATCCTTATTATTTGGTTCACAGACTTTAAAAAATAATAATATTGGGATGGTAGATGGTAAGTAAGAAAATATATTTTTTATTATGGTATCGTACACTTTTTTTTGGTGAGGTGAAATAAAATTAAATGAAACTAAAGAAAAATAATTCAAATGGGTCAAAGTTTCCTTCCCTGTTGACTTTTGAATTAAAAAGCTAATTATTCCATTTCATTTGGGTTGACAGGTTCATAACTTATGTAAGATATAGCCATTTTGTCTGGTTTTCATGAAAGAAATGAGTGGCTGAATGAATTTGGAAATGATTGATAGTGTGAGCATCCACTTGAAGCCTCAGGGTATTATTCTACACTGAGTCAGCCAGGGTGCGGCTCAGCACTGATATTCTGTAGTACATCACATCACTGCTGTGTGGAGAGGAAGATCCAGGAGCTTGAAGATGGGGGATGATGACTGGTGTCGGCATGAGCGTCAGTAATATGAATATTACACATTCGTTAGTCCGACTGATGTGGTTCAGTGATTGTGTTTTGACAACCTGTAGTATGTTTGATCGACAGTTGCTCTTACTGGCTTGCGTGTGTCTCTAGAACAATGCAGTAACTCGGTCAATGTTACCTCTGGCCACTACAACCAGGTTGACCCATAATTGACTTTCTGATACTCGTAAGATGTGTAAAGATAAACATTTGACAGTGCGTATAATATTTGCGAGCTTGCTCTTCAATGCACTCTTCAGTCTGGGCCCTCTGAGCCCTGTTCCATTAAGCCATCGTAGTTAGTCTCTGTTTAAGTATGGGAGTTACGATCGCTTTAGCACTACGACTGTTGTAAGTCCATGTTTAAGTATGGGAGTTACGATCGCTTTAGCACTACGACTGTTGTATGTCCATGTTTAAGTATGGGAGTTACGATCGCTTTAGCACTACGACTGTTGTATGTCCATGTTTAAGTATGGGAGTTACGATCGCTTTAGCACTACGACTGTTGTAAGTCCATGTTTAAGTATGGGAGTTACGATCGCTTTAGCACTACGACTGTTGTAAGTCCATGTTTAAGTATGGGAGTTACGATCGCTTTAGCACTACGACTGTTGTAAGTCCATGTTTAAGTATGGGAGTTACGATCGCTTTAGCACTACGACTGTTGTAAGTCCATGTTTAAGTATGGCAGTTATGATCGTTTTCTCCCTACGACTGACGTAAGTCTATGTTTAAGTATAGGAGTTACGATCATTTCAGCACTACGACTGTCGTTAGTCAATGGTAAAGTATGGGAGTTAAGATCACTTTACCGATCGCTTTGTGGAACAAGGACCTGGTTCTGCCACTGGTGTGTGTTGTCTACCTTATTGTATGTTATTATTGTCTTTCAAATTACAACATATTTTACCATGTAGCATCATGAAGCATGACATTTTTGTTTTTTATTTGCTAAAATGTTTCCGTTTTTGACACAAGAGTGAGTGGGTTAAAATAAAGATTCTAAGTAGACCAAGCTGGTAGACACCTTGTATGTGTGGAATTCCACTTACATCCGCCCCTGAGGGCCCCATTACAAAACTGGCCACTGGATGTTCTGAACAGGGACCTGGGACTTATGTTTAAAGAAAATGTGTTTTAGAAAATTATTGAAAAACATTTTTTCAGAAGACTGATCACTGGATGTCCTGAAAAAGGATTATTTGACTCCTTGTTATTCTGCCTTGAAGCTGAGACCCAATATTTAATTGTCGACCCCTAAAGTCTGAAGAATCCCTATAGATCTAATGTTCATTAGTGTTACATGTTTAAAGGGGCTAGGCTCCCAGAAGATTGATTCAAGTCGGTCAAACACTTCTTTAATGATCTACTTACTCTATGTATACTATTTAAAAGATATGCTTTTTTTCCTATGACTATATAGTTTATCTGTCATAGATGGTGGGTATTGCAACACACAGCCTTCTAATTGTGGGTGTTGTTTAACTTGTTTTGAGTAGAATGTCATAATGATGATGACAGCGACAGTGAGGTGAGTTTGAAGATTCACACACGAGGCTAATTACAGTGTCTGACCCATTCGTCACCACTCACCCCTTTCCGTAACCTGCAAGAAGACACGTCCCCCTATCGATGAATGTTATGTTCGAAAATACGACAAACAAATCAGAATGCACGTTTGATTTCAAGTTCTTTGTCAAAGAATCCCTCAGAAATAATATTTGATTTTACATGTGTCTTGCATCTAAAAATATACCCAAGACACAGTTTAATGTGTTCAAGCATACTGTATAAGTCCGCATGTCCAGATCTGCTTTAAATTGTATCTAAAATATATATAATATACGGGGAAATATGTGTGAACCATTACGCAACGAGTTGACAACTGTTTTAGGTTTGCCCGTTTGCGCAAAGACGGAACCCGGTTGCAAAAATGGCCACGAGAGGGGCACAAGGGGCTATTCGGCTTGTCCCGGAATAACACAAGTTGGTCACGAATGGGGAAACACACCCGTGTTGATTGATCATGTAATACTCTGACCAAGACTGAATATTGCCTCCAGACTGACGCAGGGCCCCAATCCAAAAAGCGATCTCAGTATGGGAGTTAAATTGTCTTAGTGCTAAGATCGCTTTGAGGCATGGGGCCCAGAGCTGCAATTTAATTGATTTTTACAGAGGAATTGATCCAAAAATGTATCATCAGATATTTGCTAATTCGATCAGTAGTTCATTAAAATATGAAGTCATTCAGAAGAAAGTATTGCAAAATGTCATGAAACAATGAGAGAATTATGAAAACACACAATTATTTAATATTGAATCTAGTATGAAGTATAATTTGTGTTTCACATCCTCACTCTACCTAAAGTGTAATTTCAATATAGTTGAGCTTCTGTAGCTGTGGTATTCTGGTCACAAATGTCTGGAATAATAAGGTGAGGGGAAATGGGGTTTAATGTCGCGTCCAAGATTATTGCACTTATATAGCGATGTGCATGTACGTGTGTGTATGTGTGGCTGCTTGTACTAATCCGGACTGATGCCAATTTATAGTGCTAGCTCACTGAGATACCATGCCGCAGTTTAACATGAATACCCCACTCAGACACAGTATACTGACTCCGAGCCGACCAGTCCTTGTTTTAGCCCTTTAATGCCGAGCGCCAGACAGGGTCTTTTGGTATGACGCGGCCAGGGATCGAACCCCGGACCTTCTGCTCTCCGGGCGGACGCTCTACCACTAGACCTCGGAGGCGGTCCTGGAATAATAAGAATGAACATGGCATGTGGAGCATGGTTCTCTCCCGCTGCTGGGGTTGGATTGTTAAGTTCTTGTGGAAATCCAGTAGAAACAGGATACAGTAACAGGTAAGATGTGTGTGTGTGTGTGTGTGTGTGTGTGTGTGTGTGTGTGTGTGTGTGTGTGTGTGTGTGTGTGTGTGTGTGTGTGTGTGTGTGTGTGTGTGTGTGTGTGTGCGTGCGTGCCTGCGTGGTGTGTGTGTGTGCATGTCTAGTGTGTGTGTGTGTGTAGTGCGTGCGTGCGTGGTGTGTGTGTGTGTGCGTGCATGGTGTGTGTCTAGTGTGTGTGTGTGTGTAGTGTGTGAGCGAGTGTGTGCCTTGGTGTTGAACAATTCCTGTGATCACAGCTCAAGAGTTTCAGGTGTATCAGGACTCCAGAACAATCAAAAGTAGAAGTAGTTTTATAGTCCTTCCAGAGATTACTGATTTAGATAGTTATGTTTCTGTTGATATTGTGGTAAGCCAGATTGTCTCAGTGATTGCCTTTCCTGTCAATAGGCCGAATTTCATGAAACCTGTTGACAAAATTACAAATACTAGTATGACAACAAATGTTATACATGTATATCACAAATATGATGATGATGATGATGATGATGATGATGATTATAAATTTCAGGATAAGCTTAACCCTTAAACAAGTAGATATGTTGGTCGGACGTTACATCATTTTGTCTTTTGGTATATTTGTTGTTGATATTTGTGTTTTTAGGTTTATGATTCATAATCGGGACGTATTCAACAAATGTTTTCCACACAAATTCAGTACATGTATTTGTGTTCAAGACGGGTGGAAGGTGTATGTTTTATTGTACAGTGCCCTGTTCCACAAAACCCTATGAGGGACTCCCTTACTTTAACATGTAGCAGTTGAATCGCTTCCTCGATTGACCACATAATGTCATGTGATAGTGTGAAGCATTCATTGGACAGGAGACACAATATTTAGAATGAATGGTGTTACAAGATTGTGATGATGATTTGGTTGATTTGTTATTTAGCACCGCACTGAGCAATATTGCAGCTATATAATAAAGCTATGGAAATAATAAAGAATGGATCACACAATCCTGTGATTGATAATATGAGCAACAATCCACATCGTCGGGGTATGATGACACGCTATCAACTTGGTCACAGAGCCTGACCACCTGGGCCCACTTGCACAAAGCGATCTTAGCGCTAAGATGATCTTAACACCCATACTTTAACATAGGCTTACAATAGTCTTAGCGCTAAGATCGTTTTGTGCAAGTGGGCCCTGATCAGTTAAGTTGGCCCTGATGACCAGGGCCCCATTCTGTGAAGCGATCTTAGCGCTACGACTGTCATAGAGCTATGTTAATTTATAGGAGTTACGATCACCTTAGCTCTGTGATCGCTTTGTGGAACAGGGCCCTGTGTATGATGATAATGATGACCATGATGATGATGATGATGATGATGATGCAACTTCACGTGAGGCATTGCACGTACCACCGTTGGTAAGTTTACACTAGGCAAAATAAAAATAAATCTTACTATATATTTCCACATGAAACAGTTTTTGTTTACCAAGTGACATACTCACAGTATGGTGGTAAAATGTGTGTTCCCAGATGTGTAGAGAAAACAGCTGTAAAACTGAAGAATGTTCGTCTTTTAACAAGCAGTGATGCTTGCAGGATTTGACTTTGGAAATTGACAGTTACCATATTTTCTCTCCTAGACGTTCCGTTATTCCCGACTGCCAGGGATCCGATCAGTTCACATTATTTTACTGTTTTACTTGTATCTATTTACAGAAGAAAGACGGTAATTTACAGTAACAACTGATGTGAGGGTAACGCTATTTTTCAGGGCATTATCATTTGCAGAAGCCCGAGGTCTTCCATTAACTGCCTGACGAAGAAGGGCAGTTGAAAAGACCGAGGGCTTCTGCAAATGATAATGCCCTGAAAAATAGTGTTACCGTTATTATAGCTAAAATGGATGGAATATGTTTTCAAATAAAAAGAAACAACAATACTGGTTTTGAAACATTTACTGCAATCAACACAAATGTCACAGACCAACATTTACAAACCAGAACAAACCAGATGACGTCATTATAATACGTGACGTCACCTATCCCTATCCTATGATGTCACCTAACAACAGGCGTGATAATGGCCCTTCGTCAAGCAATATGAGGGCATTATCAAGTTACAGTGGCCCGCTCATTTCTGATAACATGCGGGCAGTTAAATGATAATTCTATCCATTTTAACTATAATGTACAAGACATGCCTGTATGCTGAAGATGTGAAACAATATATGCCTATGTACATGTTTTGCTAATAAAAGTAATACAAATTTCTTTCTGCTCCAAGCATTATGTCATTTGAGAAACGGTCGCCTCGGGGGCCTTCAGGTTCGGAGTTGTGCCCCTTGACATTTCAGGGATCCGATGATAGTGAGCCCACAAGCGCCTTTTACAGCTCTGTTTGTTTAACGCAACACACAGCAATATTCCAGATTTATGAAGGCAGTCTGTAAATATTCGAGTCAGTCATACATATGTCATTATTTACCTACTTAGTATTGACTGTACACCGACAAGGTCCACAGTACAGACAGTCATGCTGTCCTTCAACGCCTCTACAAGT